CTGCCTGCAGCTGTGTACTGGAGCTGGCTACTCTAAAGCTGGCTTCTGTGAGGGACTTGGCATGTCTTTTGTTTTTCATGTTCTGAGCAGAGGTATTGAAATATCTAGGTTTAGATACCATCAGTCTCTATCTTGAGTTTTTTCTCAGCTTGAATGGTTTCCCAGAGTAAAAGGTATAAAGAGGATCTCGCTCTGAACTCCATCTGGAATTGCTGCTCTACCCGGCGAAGCCAAGTGATGGTGTGGTCCTCGCTGTGGAGTTACTGATTTTCCACCAGTCTCAAGAGCTGCCAAGTCCTGAAGCATTAAAGTTGTATCTCTGCTGAGCTACTCTGATTTTTCAGCTGGGTGGAAGGACGAGCAAATACATACACATCTTCCAGCTTTCCCTTCCTTTCCAGCACCCAATCCGTAATTCTTCTTCTGTCAGCAGCGGCTCGCCAGTAGCCCCTGTGCTGTGTTTGAAAGCTCCTGTCTGTGGGGGCTGTATCCTGGTGATACTGCCTTCATCGCTTCTAGCAGTAAGTTTGTGTTTGTCTTTGGAAGCTGTGTTGCTTCTTGATGAATCGATGGACATTTAGACCAGCACTCTTCCTGCTATCAGAGAGTTTATGATGGAAATTCTCAAAGAACCTTGCTTTAACCTCCCAGACGCTTCACACTTCTTCATGGGGTTTATATCCATGTAGAAATGAATTTGCCAAGACAAATGAACGCAGTTATTGACTGGAGCAGCCGTTACCTGCCGCTATTGAACAGTTAGGAGAGGGTTAAGAAGAAAACCTCTTCTGAGCCACTAGATTGGCCCTGACTAAGATGAATGTCTAATTCACTCCCAGCGTCCTTACTGCTGCCAGTAATAAAAAGCTTGCTTCACATATTCACCCCACTGCAGACGTTTCTCTTAAATTAAATATCAAGAGGACATATAATAGCATGATTCCACACCAAGCCAATATTATCAGATTGATGTCAGCAGTGATAATAGAAGAAGGATAAGTTGATGAGATTTCATTTATTAAATAAAGTAAAGGGAATACGCAGCGATGGAGAGGATTTGGTAACTCTCAGCGTGTCAAAATGCACCAAGATCGTGCTCGTTCTGTCTTACCTTAAAGGATAGCAGAAAGGAGGATGCTCTTTCTTTCATTTTAAGAAAACCTTTCCCTTCTTTTCCAGACAAAGACCTGATTTAGATCCCTCCATGTGAGGGGGGGAGGAAGATCTGGAGTAATGGATTTCACGTGTGCGTGGCCTTCCTTCCCATTGAGCAGTGGTGAGGCAAAGGTTTCTATCCCCACTCTGATGGGGGAGGCACGGGTAATGAGTTTTATTTCTAGATTCATCCTTTCCTTTGTCCCTCCTGTCATCTTTTCTCCCTTCCTCTAACTTTAAACGGATGAGAGCATGTGTTATTGGTTTAATTTTTCATATTCCTATGTGCTGGATTTATTTCCAAGGTATTGTCAGAGCTCATCTCTCATACTTCCCTGTCCGCAGGTATTGTGCTAGCCCCTCCAGGCTCGGCCTTTCTCTCTTGCTTTTTTCCTGTCTGCTCTAAATGAGCCTCTTGCATCTGTTTTGATAATAGCAGTAGCAATTGCAACACATTTTTTTAGACAGAGGCTAATTGTCTACCTTATTTGGTGGTGGCTTATTATGCTTCAAACTGCGACCCGTTTTAGGAGAAAGGTCAAAGCATCCTAGTCCTCTGCTCTTTATGTATTCAAACACCATCCCTGCTCCACCATGTTCCTTCCCCCTTGTTGTTTAAGAAGTAATTATGAAGACCCTCAAACAAGGAGACATTTACCAAGAGCTGTGTAGTGGAGTGTCCAGAAGGTGGATTTTCTAACAGTTAGTGCCAACAGCCTTGAGCTGGGCTGAGGTTGAAGGATGAAGGCTGACGAGGGTCCACCTCCTTTGGAAGTCAGTGTGCCATTGCTCTCGATGGAGACGTTTGTAGTTAGATGCTGGCGGTCTCCAGCAAGTTTTTTTTGTTTAATTCCTTTTCCTTTCAGATACATACCAGTAAAACCAGACAGTGGTAAGGCACAGCTGGTGTATAGGTTTGTAGTTCCCTCTTGTGCAGAAACGATGCAGCCTGAAGTCAAGAGCCACTCTGAGCAGGAGAGTGGCGTCCCTCCAAGTCAGGCAGGGCAGGGACGGTGGGTGCTGTGCTGGGAGGAGAGCTCCTCAAGCAGTTGTTCACCCAGGCAGTTCAGAGACCCCCTTTCAGTCCAGGCGGGCACCAGAACTCGTCCGCTGGACGTGGGTGACTTGTACTCCCGGACTCAGCAGGAGCTGCATCCTCGTGGTGAGCTCACGTTTACTTCTTGTCCCTTTGGTTGGTAGGTGACACGTGGTGGGGCACGGTGACAGTTATCTCCTGAGCCATGCTAGCTTCCCGCCCCAACGTGAAGTGTCATTCTCAGTGGGGTTTAACTGGTTCTGTTGAATTTCCAGTTCACTTGTGAATGCACTAATCTATTGGTTTGTGTAGTGTGTATTGACAAGTACCTTAACCAGCTTGATGTTATGTTGATTAGTTTTTCTAAATCTGTTTTGAGAAGCTGGTGCAATTGATGTGTAACCACAGTTTGAGATTTTAGTTTGAAGAAATAAAGGAGAATATTCTGTCTGCAATTCTGGGTGCCTGGTACCAAGTGAATCCTCTCTGTGTTGTGGAAAGTGGCTGATTTAGGTACTCGCTGGGCAGCACGTACCATTCCGTGCTGATTGAGCCTTGCCTCTGGTCGGCTTTAGGCACCAACGCTCACTCTGTGGCTTCTCACTCACCACGCTGTGGCTTTTAATAGCCCTCTGCACCGTGGGCTGAGCTCCGAGGGGTCTCCTAGGGATGACACAGACTTCGCACTACTGTCTGAGCCCACGGATGGGTCCTAGCTTTACATTTACTGCAGGCAACGAAGACTGATGCTGCAGGAGAGACGGTGAAGGAACAGACACACAAAAAAGCACAATTCCTATAGCTTCCCGTGCCAGCAATGGCATTCTCAAGCATTCTTCTAAATATTTCTGGGATGTTTGCGCTGTATTGTTCAGTTCAGATGAATGCTGACTGTTCTGTGGCATGTTGTACCTTTTTGCCTTTCCAGCTCTGCATGAAAATTACAAAGTGCCCTTCAGTTTAACATGGCTGAGTTCTTAAAAAAAAAAAAACCAACCAAACCCTGATTTAAAAAGTCTTAACTTTTTCAATGAATTGAGGGCTTTGGTGGTATTTCCTGACCTGGTATTGCTTGGCATCATTTCCACAGTCTCACTGATTTGATTAGAGTGATATTAAAGTTAGTGACAAAGCAAAATGCCAATGTTATGAATTTCTGAAGCTCTCCCCGGGTTCTTTTCTATTCCAAAATTTGAAGATTTTTTAGAACACGGATTTTGAGGGCCTTTAAACGTGATTCCCTGTAGAACATAGAAATTAGAAATGCACACTAGTCTCTAGGGACCATGCATGGAATAAGTGTCTTCTAAAAGCTGTAAGATTAGTGAAGAGGTGGAGAAAGAAGTCTGTATAGTATGTTTGGTGCTTTCTGAGCCAAACCTCAGCATTTTAGAGTGTGGCTGTCGTACTGTTACTGATAAATTCTTAGTCTGTCCATGCACGTTGGCAGTAAGACTGACTCTCATTTGGAGTATGTCTCAGCCAAACTATTTTGAGGGAGCATTGAGGTTGCTGATAAAAGAAAAGATTTATTTATTATTATTTTTTTTATTTTGGCCCTTCCATTTGCCTTCCTGAGCACCTTACAAAACCGAGCATGATGGGGAAACTCATATCTGAGCTCTCCAAAAGCTCTTAGAAGATCTTGGGTTTTTATGAAACCAGGACACTTAGACATCTGTTCCACCTGAGAGAATGACACGTGCCCAGGAACAGGTCATGTTTTCTCTCCGCCTCACTGTGATGCCTTGTTGCTGAATGAGTGCCTGTTGTTGTTACTGTGGAAATGAACACATCGTAGCACGGCACTAATGCCTGCCTGTGGCATCAAGTGCTTTGGAAGGAAGAGGCGCCTTTGGTATTTGGGCACAAATCTCTCTAAGCACATCGGGGCAGAAAACGCAAGGAATTCAGTGGATTTATGGTTCAGGAGGCGGCATCCGAGGATTGCTACACCTAAGCATATGTTCTTGTTCTCTGGTAAAACACACCATGGCAATTGTGCTGCAGATTCCTGCAATTTGTGTCTGCCTGTCTGTGCAGCTGATGACACTGTCGTTACTGTGTGTGTGCCATTGTTGCTGGTATTGTTTTACAACGACCTTCCCCTTTATTGGTACTGTTGCTGATGATGTGCCATATGTACACATGCACATTAGAGTATAAGAACATCATCCCTAATTGTTCTTGGGTAGCTGTCAATGCCATTTACGGGGGTATGAGTGCTAATTGCTTCAGAAATACAAAGAAACAGATATCTGGTCTTGCTATTATTCTGTTTTTTTCTAGTCACTAGGAGCATTGCAGTGCTTCCAACCATGTTGGATTTTTTTAACGTGTTTAAACAGATGAGAATTCAATAGATTGAGGCGGCTTATTCAACAAGTCTATTCAGTTCCTTGTTAGACTGTTACAGATCTAGCGCAGGCCCAGCCAGGATTCCTGGGTTCTGCCAAAGATTTCCAATGTGAGTTGGGGAAATCATTGAACCTACTGGAATTGATTTTTTTTTTTTTTTTTTTTTTTTCCCTCCTGACTGCAGAGGAGAGGTGATGTTTTATCTAAGGGTAAAACAGCCTTCCACACCAACCTAGAAAGAATGTGTTCCTTCTTTTTAAGTACGCTGGATTTTTCAGCTGAAAGACACTGTTGGTCATTTGACCCACTTTGGTGATTGCTGCTCCCACCAGTTTCTCTATTAGGACTACATGACTCCAACACGAGATTAGTATGTGTGTCACTGGTAAAGTGGTAGTAAGTGGGTGAAAACTCCTCTTCACACATCTTTCTGTGCTTGTTTTCCCTGCAGGAGGAGGAACACTGATCCTGTCTGTGCAAGCCTGCAGTCTGAAATTCTGAAGTGCTACCAAGAAAACAAACGTGAAGTGCTCAAATGCTCAGAGCTGGCTAAGGAGTATCAGCGCTGCGTTAGTGCAGCTCAGAAGGTAACAAAAGCTTCCTTGTTTTACTTGCTGACTTTGCTGTCTTGTTTTGCATGGCGTTTTCTTCTGGGAAGTGTTTCTGAGAGCTGTGGTATCTGTTAGTCAAATTGCAGTCTTCATAGGAGACAATTTTTCCTTGGGATCCCTTTTCCTTCGTTCATTCCATGGTTTCCAGTCACACTACGCTGTGTCCCAACTTCATTTCCATCGGTGGGTCCTGTTGTACTGAGCTGCCACCAAAACAGTAGCACTGATGCTCCCAGGGTTCTAAGTCAGTCACAACGATTTTCCCAAGTTTTGTATGCTGCAAATGGTAGGCAAATCCATTTTGCCAGGGTCGGCATCATTTCGAGTGGGCTCTAAACGTCCTCCTGTTATGGGACTTCACAGTTGGAGGTGGTCTTTCCTTTTGTTGCTGCATGAGGAAAGCTGCTTTATTGGGCAGAGCTGCTGCCTCTTAAGAAAACTGCACGCTCCTAAAAGCTGTTCCTCTTGTGCATGGGGCCAGCAAGCCTGATGGCTCTTCCTTCAGAGGTGCAGAGCCCTGGTCGCTTCTGTTGATGCTTCAGGACAGCAGCTGCTTAGTACCTCGGAAGAATTTCTGACTATTGAAACAAGGGAAGTATTTGGGAATTACAACTAGGACGTGATTTTGAGAAAAGCGAGTGGTAGGACATAAACTGCTGCTTGGGGTGTCTGGAGTGTGAAGAATGCTGTTCCCCATGTGAGAATTCAGTGGGTCAGGTCCCTCAAGGGCAGGCTTTTACTTTGGGGGTGCTGGTGGTAGAAAATTCTCCAAAAGGCGCTGAGACTATAGGGAGGTGGATGTGGGGAAAAGGATGGAGCCTTAGAAAACTGAGACTCCTCTCATGGGATTACTAATGCGAAGGGTGGGGGAGAGGTGGAGATTTCATAGAAGCAGTCTTTCTCTGTCGCATTAGCATTGTGAGGGGAAGCTGTATGCCTGATTTAAGTATAACATGAAACAATCTGCCAGCCGGCTCCCTGAAGAAGCCCGACAGAAGGAGATGGGAAAATTGTCAGGATATATTAGACCAAATGTTGTTGCTAGTCCTAGTGGAATTTTTTTCCTTCCTGTTTACAAAGAAGGTCTTTGTATGTCTGCAAATCAGCAAGGTTAAAGCTGCCAGGAAAAGGGCTTTTCTCTGATATCTTTAAAGTCCCCAGCTCCCAAAACATGTGGTTTCTTTTTCTTTGTCAGCTTTAAAGTAAAGCGGTGCCTGTGTTGCCTCTGCACAATCCGTGCCCTCTGTTGCTGTGCTCGGAACGTCGGCGCATCCATTGCCAGCCTCCGTTACCTGATGCTTCCTCCTTGCCTCCTGTAAATCAGACTCGTAGCCTTTTCAGTGGAGTGTATCTTTAGCAAATGCATTTACCAATACATCTTTATTGCATGCGGTGCGGGCGGAATGTGATTACCAAAGAAGACAGATTGCATTAAACTTCAGCATATTTGCAAGCTGCGGCTCCAACCCGCCTGAGGAAGGGCCTGGGATGCTGCCAGCCCTGAGCCCCAGCCCGACATTGTTAAAAAGTAAATTGGAAGCTAAATGACTGGTAACAGCAGAGGGCAGTGAAAGATCCTATTAACTTGGATCCTCTTTGGATTTGGGTGGTGGATTTTTTGGTAGACTTTCTTGATCAACCAAAAACTGGGGGTCATTTGAGTTCCCAGAGTATTCAGTCGACTTCAGAAATTTTTTCCCTGCTGTTATATAAACTTCCTGGAAGGAGCGGTTCATAGGACATGAATTTGCTGTGGATGATGACAATATGGCAGAAAATCTCCTTGCTATGTTTTAAGAAGGGGCAAGAGAGACTAAGGAATAGGTAAGAAAACCTTGCAGCTGCACATAGGTGCTAGAGGGTTCTGCAACTCCAAATGCAAATAAAACTCGTGTAAGGCAGTACATCTGTAGTTTCCTTTGTCCCAGGACAGCTCAAGCCCTGTCAGTTTGCCTCACTGCTCTTACGGAGTCCTCTGACTCCTGAGATATATGTAGCGATCACAAGCTGTTGTGTTTTTTCAAGAAGGATTAAAACTTCCTCCTCCCTTCCCCTCTTAAGCTGTTATTTTTCTTTAAGTTTAAATTAGCATCTTCTACCAAATGGCTTTGTCTCACGCATTCCTCGTTCAGGAAATGCAGGTTGGAGGAATGTGGGAAAGAGAGGCCAGAATCTCTTCATTTCTTGGGTGTTTTTTTTCTTTATTTTTTAAACACAATTTGTTTTCCAATACAGGAGGTTGTAATCAAAGCTGGATGTGTGACTTCAGCTCACTTGCACGCTGGTGATTTGTTCTGCTTTTTACTAAAGATTTTATAAGGCTTGGTGAATATTCTTTAATGAAGCATCTGGTTCTCTGCAAGTTCCTTTTGATGGCTGGTAAAAATGTCTCCAGGGCATGGTATACATTAGACTCAGAGAAAGCAAGCTCTCGATTTCTAGACTGAAAATTACAGCTTACAGTGGATGAGAATAATTCTTTGCGTCTTCCCCCTCACTGTGTTGGTTTGAGACTCTCCCGTTGGGCCCCCATTTCCCTTTGCCTGTTGCTGTGCGCATCTCTGAGCCAGGAGCTGAGATGCACCCCCAGTTACTTCTGCCCCACGGACAAATACATCAGGCAATCGTTTCATGAGTTTTTAAATTTATTTTCTACTCGTTTCCTGTATGGGCCCTCTTACTGGGACAGGTTGCTTTATTGTAGTGTGTGGTAGGGCTCTACCTGACATGACCTGGTTTGTGTGTTTTCTGTCCATGAGGGCTGCTTTTGTAGGCAAGGGGCAGAAACAGGCGCTGCTAGAGCATGTTGCACCTGATCCTAGAGCAGCCTGAGGCAGGTCAGCTGAATTGCCGCCCACAGCGAGTATTTCTCTGTTGCTCCGGAGGCTCATCCAGGCCACGGGCACCAAAGTTCACGCCCGCAGTGGGATGTTCATGGAGCGATGGGAGCAGGACCCTGCCCTGAACCTCTGCCGTTGTAGCTAGCGTGCTTTCAGCTTGCCCTGCCTAACCTGCTCTCTAACTTGGCCGTTTATACCATCCTGCACGTGAATATTGTTGGCGTGGCCAGCAGCTCCCTGCTGCGGCGCCAGCCCGCTTCGGCTCTGGGCTGCTCATTGCATCCTGAGCTTTGCTTGTGTGGAAGCTCTCTGACTTTCAAGTACGTTACTGTAACGTCTCCTGTTTAATTTGGGAATGTTTTATCTTTTCTGGTGGTCTGTTTTCTTGGCTCTGCAGAACTTCAGCTACAGCATAAGAATTGCTGGCTTTAAATCTAATAAAAGCTGGGATAATGGGACAGCTGTGGGAGGGGCAGTTCCCATTGTGTCTTTTAAAATTGCCTGTAGTTTATTGACCGCAAGTTTCACCAAGAGCTACTGCTGCCGTTAGATAATGAGAATTGAAAATTGCTGCTGCTGCTTCCCCAAGGTTTTATCTCATGCCAATGAGAGGAGGGTGTGGAAGGAAAAGGAGAGTGGGCAGTGGAAATCTGCGTAATTTCTTACTTTGAGTCCAGATGGAAGGGAAAAACAAATGATTTTTTTTAAAGTCTGAGTCCTATTAGTGAATTGCATCCCTCCCCCTGCAAATACACACTCGTGCAAGCTTTTCAGAGTATTTGTGACCTGTTTTGCTTCCCTTACATCCTGTTCACATCAGTAGGCAAAATCTGAATTTCCATCAAATTTTAGTTGGTTAATTTGTTATGTAATTGGTGGTTATACCAGGGAATCTCTGACCAGCTGCCACTTGAAAAATGCAGCCTCTGGTGACCATATATTAACGTGATTAGAGATTTCAAACAGAACCTCCTTCATGTGTCTGTGTGCGGAAAGATGTCTGTTAGTGAAAAGCGTGTATCCCTTTCTCTCCAAGTGTTTTTTTACTGTCTCTAGGTGCCTGTCTTTCACAGAAGGACCAAGGTGAAATTCTTGCGCTCTAGCTCCTGGCCAAACCAAGCTATAAAGAGCTGCACACTCAGACACGTGTATTCCCTTGTCAGTAGGAGCTGTATACATCGAGCTAGGAGCCATTCATAATTCTGTGCTCTTTCTCCCTGTTCTGCGTCCAGCTTCTCACGAGTCTGCTATTCATAACAGACCAGGGTAAAGCTACATCTATGAAGGCTTTAGGGCTTGTCTACATAAGGAAATTACAGTGTAGTAAACTGGTGAGTGAGTTTGTGGTACAGCAACTTCTCTGTTTATGAACATTCTGGGTTTGTAATGGAAGTGCAGGGAAAATTCACACTCGTTTAACTGTGAGTCACTCTGACATGCAAACAAGCCCTTGAAAAACACCGATAGACTGGATTCCCGTGGAGGTAGACTTTTAACATAACCTTGAGTTGACTGCATTCTCCTTTGCCCTTGACTGTAATAAAAAGGCATGTGCTCAATTCACTGTGCCTACTTCTCCCAGGGATCCCTGTGAAAGCCCAGCTCCCCTTTGGGGCGCAGCAAAGCATCACAGCTCTGCTGGAAGTCTGTGTCTCGCGCGTGGGCAGCGCCCTGGATTGCTGAGAAGGTGCTGCATGTCGTCGGGCCGTGTCCCGTCCCCGTGGAGCAGTTTTGCTCCAGCGTTTGGGATCCTGCTGAGGTGTGGCCTGCTGGGAGCTGTCACTTCCACAACCTGGGCCACTCTGCTTTAGAGAAACAGCTCTGGGATGCGTTGGACACCGCAGGCTGTGCTGCAGGTGGCTCTGATCATATTAGGCTCTTGTTAAAGAGTTGTTTCCATGCTGATGGATTGCAAAATGCTTCATAGATTGTTTGTGTACTTACTGGAGTAGAGAGTAGCAGCCAGTGTGTGTGTGTGTGAGGGGGAAAAAAACTTTGGACAGGTATAGCAAGGTCCACACTCTGCCGGGATTCCTCCTCCCCCAGGATTCCGCAGAGGTAGATCTCAGCTGTTGAAGTCTCATCAAGGAGATATAAATATATCACACAGTGTGCTACTTGAAATGCGATATATCT